GGGCTGGTGGGGGGGTGGGGGGGGGGGGGTTCCACAGAGACAGTCCAGGGAGGGTCAGCAAAGGCTGGTCTGATAGGTCCCACCTGGGCTGGAGCACTGGGACTTGACCCAGGAACCACGCGAGCTGAAACCAGCCGCGGTGAAGCAGGCAGGCGCCACGGGCTGGGCACAGAATGGGACACAGGCGCCGCCGCGGGCAGCTCCCTGCCTGCATCTGAACACTCAAGCAGGCGTTTGCAGGGTCAACACCTCAGTCCCCGCGGCTTGCTGAGGCCAGGGAGTGGGCCGCAAGACTGCTGGAACCAAGCCCGGCTCCTGGGATAGGCTAGTTGTGCTCACGCCTAGAATGGGCAGGGGGTGTGGCTGGAACCACACCACTGCTTTGATTGGTTGCAGAGGGAGCACCACCTATGTGAATGGAAACCAGCAGAATCTGGCAACTCGGCATGCGGGCACCAGTAAACGGCGCATGGGCCGCGCACACAACCCTGATGGGCCCCGGTTGCTCCCCACTGGCCTAGGCCAGTGTTATACTGTGAGCGGATGAGTCGCCTACAGTTAAAAGACTCACGAATACTGGTCTGAAACAGAGTCCCTGCTACCCCCTGGATTTGTGAGCTGGCAAACCCCAGGTTTTAATAGAAGCCAGGTGGGAAAATTAACATTAAAGCAAACATTTAACAATAGTTGAAAACGATCCCTGTGAATCATCACGGCACACAGACAAGCCACCAAAAATATTTGGTTAGTTAAGTCAGCTGTGGCTCCCAGACGGGTCTGTAATTAGGTTACGATGTCCTTTATGGAGGCGAATGCATCTGGCAAGAATTAAGAGACCTTCCCAAACTGTGGCCATTATCTGCCACCGGTTTTCATAAGGCTGCAGCCTAGAAAGACTTACACTAGCCACATGTTCGGCTGCACAAAAGGCACTACAAGAACAGAGGGGGCTGAGCAAAAGGGTAAGAATAATCTGTGGATTTTATTAATCGGTTGCACTATTTATTATGGGGAATTGCTACTCAACGTCAATGGTACGCCAGTGCAACTGGTGTACGCGGGCATAGCTCTATTGCCAAGGCACTTGCCTACCTCACGCTGGCTCGGGATGCTTTTGCAATTGGCTTCCGCGAGGGCGCGTTTTCTCTGCGTCGGCCCAGCTCATCCCTGGTGTAACCCCACTGATGTTACACACGAGAGGCGTTTGGCCCTGGCTGATGAGTTGCTGGTGCCCACCCTGACGTTTCACACTCACAAACCAATCTTCCTTCTTTTGTTCACAGAAGATCAGCTCCTCTCGGAGCTTGGCCACGCCACAAGAATTTACGGCAGCGTTGGGGATGTTGCTAGTGGACAGTTAATGAATGGAAGCTTCTCCATGGATGGGACAGGACAATCTTATCAGGACCTGAGGGACGGAAGCCCCTATGGAATTCCTCAGTCTCCGTCTTCCATATCGTCCCTCCCTGCCCATACTCCATTGCTCAATGGTCTGGATTACACAATGGACAATAGTCTGGGAATTATAGCACATGGCGGTCAGGGGGTGAGCCAGACGCTCCGAGCAATGGCTGGGGGACCCACCTCTGATATTTCCACAGGAAGCAGTGTAGGCTATCCGGACTTTCCAACAAGCCCCGCCTCCTGGCTCGATGAAATGGATCATCCTCCTTTTTAAGCATCCTCTGCTCCCCATCCCATCCCATTTGTTCTTTTGGCCTGAAAGCGTGCTCAAAATAGCAAAAGAGGCAACACGCGACCTTCAAGAAGCCTAGACGTACTGCACCGAAAAGTCTCCATGGTTTTCAATGGGAATCCACCCCTGGTTCCTGCAGTTTGCGAGGCGATCGTGTGGAGGGTTTTTTTTCCTTTTCATCGGGGGAACGGGAGGGTAGAAAACACCCTTCTGAACATAGCCCGCTGGCCTACACGGTCTGATTCGCGGTTTGCAGGCTCCAAGTAAAACACAGATCCATTGACTCACCCGAGGTCAACAACTCTCCGCTCCTGAGTGCTTCTGAAGCGCATGTTGGCTGGCTCAGCAGATCTCGGCCACTATGAACCCCCAGTCTGTGGGCACTCCATTACTTGGAGCTTACCGAATTATAAATGCCTCCAAGACCCTTTCTCTCACCAGGAGTTGCCTATGCACGCCCAGTTGAATTGACCATCCCTGCAGACATGGAAATACGCTTCCAAAGCCATGCCTCCTGGACTGAGCACTACGCCTTTACTGTCAGGCCCCTGCCCTTGGTAAGGACAGAACCAATAGCCACAACCCTGGGGGAGGAACATTATCAACGTTTTCCCTCCCCCCCCCCAGGACTATTAATGTCGCCTCTTTGGATGAAAAGGTTCTTGCTGGGGGTCGAATGGGGCTCAGGCATGGAGCAGGATTAGGTCAAAGCAGGTGAAAGTTACTCAGAGGCGGGGCCAGCACAGGGCAATGTGCCACTTAGGTCAAGTGGTGCAAAGACTTTGTACAGGTGCCTCGGCCTCAGGGTGAGCGTCTACAGAGGGTGCCGAACCGGTTCACCCCTCCACATTGTTCAGAATCCGGTCTGTGCCGAACCGCACTCTGGAACCGGCCCCCTTAGCTGATGCGAGTCTAAGCCCACCAGTCCCTGTCCACGCTGAGTGGTAACTCAGGTTTGACATTACTCCTTGTATTACAGTAAGCTGGGGGCTCGCTAGCGCTAGGAGCTGTACAGACTGCCCCTGTCTGAGATGAGAGGGGAAAACAGAGAGGTGAAGGGACATGCTAATTTACTACCAGGGCCAGGATCAGAAGGCAGGTCCCCTCACTTGCAGCCCTGCGGCCCAGTCTATCACCCCGCTTCACTAACACATTCCAACCCGATCCATTTCCCCAGGGCAGACAGGCCCGGAGTCATTTCATTCTTAGGGCCTTGAGTAAGCTCAGCTGGAATCTGTCCCTGGGAGATCATTCAAGATAGCCCCTGATGGTCATTTTCCACCCAGCTGGTGTAGAAGCAGATACTCATTTGCTTGGTAAAAGGCCACCCCACCAGACAGAGCCCTGCTGACTAGCCAGCAAGTCAAATAGGGAGAAAATGTAACAGAAAGACAATCAATAAAGCCAGAGGGGGGCGAGGTTGGCGATGGGTCTCAGACCAACCAAATCAGCTAGTGAGGGATTCCTGTGGAGGAGCCTGCGGTACAAAAGAGCCTGCAAAAAGCCATCTTCTGTTTGCAAGGCTGGGTTTCCGCGGGACTCCACGCTGCCAAGAAGGCTGCGCTACAGCCAGAAATACCATAGAACGGGTTGGTTTTGTGCAAGCCGCGGTGGGGCCGGGTCCCGTGGGATTATCATCCTGCCTGCGCCATTGACTGCTCGACACCGACTGTTTGGTGCAGAAACCTGGCTCAGCCTCCAGCCCCACAGGGGCGTTAGCGTCTCACCAGGAAGCGAGGCCGAGCGGCGGGGAGAGCCTCCGAGGCAGCTGGCTCTGCAGGCCTGACGCTGCAAGGGAGAAGCGAACCTCAGCAGGGATGTGCACTTAGCGCCAGGCTCATCCGGAAATCGTGATGCACCCTGGCGTCTCCTCCGCTCGGCTCTTGCAAACACACCCTCCTCTGCAGAAGCCACAGAGTTGCTGCTTCCCTCTAGGTGAGCTGCCCCAGCCCCACGACCGGCCCAGAGCTGCTCAGTCCTCCTCAAGCACCTGGTGTGGGGCTGGCCGGTCGGCGGGAATCATTGGCAGTCCTGAGGCAGGTCAAGAGGAAAGCTCTTTGTTGGCACAGCAGGGTTTAGTATTAGACTGTAAGCTCTTCAGGGCAGGGGCCACCGTGTCTTCCTCTCCATGTGTACAGCACCTGTGAACGGTGAATTATAACTCTTGGCGGCAGCTCCAGGGGCCTGCTACATCTTCCCTCCTCCAGCCATCGCACGTCCAGGCATCTGCCTCAGACCGCATCCCCGTCCACGTGGCCCTTGGCCCCTCAGCTTGGAAGCGCGCCCTGACCCGCTGTGCACCTTGCACAGGCAGCTCGGGGGGCAGGAGCAGGCCTTACAGGGATTTCTCTCGCTCGCTGCCTGGGCTGTGCTCCCCTGGGGTCAGCTTGCGCTTGGCTGCCGGCAGAGTCTCTTGCCTGGAGCTGAGCCTCGGCCCGGGGGCGCCAGATTGGGCCAAACACTGTGTGTTCACAGGGGCCTTAGGAACATTGCGCTGACCGTGGAGCAGGAGGGGCCTTATCCGGCACCACATTCCTTTGTGCTGCGAGAGCAGCTGGATCGGCCCAGCTTCGGCTTCGGCTTCCCGGGCACGGAGGGGTTTTCAGTGGATGCAGACCTGGCATTCCGGGCGCACGGCTGGAGCATTCGGCGCCCCACGCAGGGCTGCTGCTTGGAGCAAGGATACAGCAGACCTCCAGATCCGCCCGAGGGCTCAAGGCTGTGACCAGCTGGCTAATGGCGCTTGCCCATCCCACCTCCCCCGCTGCAGCTCTGATGCCTGGCCACTCAGCACAGCCCAGACAGGAGACAGAGGGCCGCTAGAAGAGGGTGGGTATGTGAGCACCCTCCCCCTCCCCCCACACTAATACTTTCCTCTGGCTCCCCCAGCATTCAGGTGCTCGGACCCCCCCCCACGTCACACTGAGAAAGCAGGGCTAAGAGACGCAGGACCTACCCCAGCTCCCTCTGGAGTCAACAGAAAGTTGCTTATTGGCTTCAATGGAAGTTGAATGGGTTGGGCAGCTGAATGGGAATCAAATTTAGGCCTCAGCTCTGCATTAGACTCACATGCTCTTGCTGGGGCTTCCAGGGCAGAGCTGGGGCATCAAAAGCCAGTGCTACAAACCCCACCCGCCTCCCACCAGCGAGCGTCACAACCCAAGTGGGCTTTCCCTGCCGCGGCTGGACCCGTGGGCCGACGGGAGCTGGTGACGCCGTAGGAGGCCCCCCCGCGCTCGCCCAGCGCAGCTGCTCCAAGCAGGGATCAAGCGTTCTTAGCCAGGAACCAGCAGGTAGACAGGCCCTAATGCCCAAGATGTTCCGATCTGGCCAGTTAGCCGGTACCATTTTCAATGTGAATTTTCAGAACGTGTCCCTATTTAAAACAGTGTCCACATCTCTCTTAAGGCACCGGGAGGAGGGGAGGCAGGATACACTCGTCAGTCACTGTCCTGTCTTACAATTCGGTTTGGGGAGAAAGGTCTGGGGAGGGGGTTTGGGTGCAGGAGAGGTTTCTGGCCAGGGGGAGAGATGCAGGAGGAGGTGCACCTCTGGGAGGGAGTTGTGACCTGGGGGAGGAAGAAAAGGGATGCAGAGGGTTTGGGTGGTGGCCTGGGGCAGGGAGTTGGGGTGCAGGTGAGGGTGGTCCTGGCAGGGCGGCCTGTGGGCTGGATCTGGTGGATTGGTGGGCCACATCCGAGCTGCGGGACTTATCTTGCTTGCCCTGGGGTTAGTGAGACATCACTGTGTGTGCGCGTGCTATCTGAAGCCAGGAGGGACAGAGCCCAACCTCTGTCTGATCTGGTTAGCGTGGGTAACAGCAGCAGTGTAGTTGTAGCACCATGGACCCTGGCAACCCAGGTCCGTACTCACGGTCCCTGGTGGCCTTGTACGGAACGAGCTGCGGGACTTATCTTGCTTGCCCTGGGGTTAGTGAGACATCACTGTGTGTGCGCGTGCTATCTGAAGCCAGGAGGGACAGAGCCCAACCTCTGTCTGATCTGGTTAGCGTGGGTAACAGCAGCAGTGTAGTTGTAGCACCATGGACCCTGGCAACCCAGGTCCGTACTCACGGTCCCTGGTGGCCTTGTACGGAACAGTTATCCCAGCCAGAGGCCTCCCTGCCATGTCCTCACTCCCACTGCTCCCCACGCCAGCTAGA